ATTTTGCTCTATTCAAAAAAAAAAAAGAAAAACAGGACAATTCTCCTTATTTAAAAAAACGCTGAGCATATGGTTGGGGTTTTTTTTTACTAAGAAGAGAAAGAGTTGTTTTTCCAGACCAYGAGAGACCATCCATGGAAAGATGGGGTGCTGTAGCAGCAGTCCCTGCTGGGTGCAGCCCCAAATGCTTGTACCTGTCTCCTCAAGGCAGGAGTTTGTCTGAAGCGTGCTGAGATGAACCAAGTCAGGAAACTGGGCACGAGTTTCTTTAAAAAAGGAGGAGATACAGAACACACAGAGTGAGGAGAAAAAGGTAGGAAAAAACCAGCCCCTGGTCAAGCAATAAATAGATCTGAGGTGGAAGAGATTCCAAAGCAGTGTTCTGCAAAGAACAGACACAGCCACCACCATTGAGACCTTCTCCACACACCAAGGGTGGAACACACCCTCTTTCCATATTCATCACTTTTCCCTGACTTGCAACAGAACAAAACTGACTCAATTCTTCAGTTTCATAACAGCTCGCTGAGCTTCCAGTAAATGAAGTGAAAATTGTAACAATTTTCATTCTTTTGTTGTTTGGGAAAGTACAAGAGACCATAGAATTGCTTGTAAAACTGTTTAGTGACAGCTGCTTTCCTGGGAAGGAGAAACGCTGTTTAAGATGAAAGCTAGGTTTTGCTTTCCAGAGGTTTATCCATGCTCCTACTCTTGAGAGCACAATCTACAGATTCTACACAATCTGCAGAGCTGAGAGGGCCAAGAGAAACACAGGCAAAGGATCCACTTCCACCACTCCTCATCCCCCTGGAGATGAGGTAACAGGTTAGCAACAGACAAGGAGAACTTCACTTGGTTTCAACCATAACCCTTTTTATGCAGCTGATGGGAACACACAGCCAAACCCAGCCATGAGAACAGCGATTCAGGGACTATATTCCACGGACAGCAGGATGATCATATGATGCCGGGCTCACTTACATCCCAACAGCGAAGCTCTCAGGGTGGTTTTAGCTGTAATTGGTTTACACTGGAGCCAAGGCACAGGGGACAGCCCAGGAGCACCGCGTGATCCCCACCACATTCGGCGGGTTCCAATCCCAGCTCTGCTGTGTTACATCACAGCTGGAGTAAAACCGGCCCAGGAGAGGCCAGAAGGAAAAGAAAAAAGGTTCGTTTGCATTCCAATAGTTTTCCCAGRGGCCACCCGGCCCAGCTCTCCCGTGACCGAAGGGCTCGACGCGTGCCAGGGCACCGGCCCCTGGGTGAAACCTCTCTTCTCCCAGCTCCATTCAGGCCTCATTCACCGCTCAGAAAAGATTCTTCCCGAGGCATTTCCTCCAAAAAAAAGTCTTTAAAAACGCCCGTGGTTAACGAGCAACTCGTCCTTTCACAGGCACAATGYGGGCATGTTCAAACCCGCCGCTGCCCCAGCGCGGACCCACAGCCCTACGGTGCCTCTTTATTCCTGTAAAAGCCACCCAAAGCAGGGCTGCAGCTGCTGAGGCACAGTGAGGCACCAGGGGCATTTTCTGGGATGTTTCCTCATGGAAAAAGCCGGTCCACACAAAAAAATAAGAGTGTTATGTAAAAAAAMCACCCTGACGGCAATGCTGAAGGGCAAGGACATCCCAAGCACTGAACACATTGAGGTACCACAGGACTTGGGAGCTCTCCCTCTGCACTTTCCTCCCACATTTCTGCAAGTATCCTGGGAATTCACTCCATGTGATGGGAATAGCATGGGGAAAAGATAGGAATAGCAAAGTTGAACTCTRTTCCTTCTCTTTGAATGAATCCCATTGCTGCCCCGGCTCTCTCTGCTACCCAAAGAGGTGGATCGTGGTTTGTGAAACCACACACAATTCGGCGGGTTTCCACAATACCCCAAAAATGTGGGKTTTTTTTTCTCCATTTGAAATTCATGTGGAAATTAATTTTCCTTGTGCCGCTTTTTAAAGGAATATGTAACAAAGGCATCTTTTCAGCCAATGCCTGGTATTCCAAAAACGTTCCAGAGCTTCTTTCATGCCCAAAAGTAGTGGCTTCCAAATGCAATGCAGAGACAATGTGCGACCTCCAGCAGCATAAGGAAAAAATAAATCACTTAAAAACTTAGAAAGAACAAAGTATTTTTCTGTTAAGACTCTTTATTTGCAAATGTACCACCAAACCAAGGACATGGTGTTTTATCAATCTCCAGGGACTGCTAAGATTTCAAAGAAAAATGAATCACTGACCTAAAAAGTCAGGGGGAAACACCTAAAGAGAAGAAAATAGCCTCCTCTGTAAGTGTAAACAGAATTCTCTCCTTTCTTCTTGTTCATTGACAAACTTTTTTATTTCAAGAACTCCTGAAGGGTTAAAGCCAGAAAAAAAATGGGTTTTTTGAATTCATAGCAGGAAATTAAGAAGAAAGGGAAGAGCAAAGTTCTACTATTTCTTAAGCGCTTAAAAGAAACAGTAATGAGAAACAGCCAGTCCTAGGGAAAAAAATCCTACTTTAATGTAGAAAGTTTAATTTATTTATCAAAACACACTTCTTTTCTTCTCTTCTTTTCAAACACTAAGCTTTTAATAGATCTTTAATGTACATACTTTGGCTCTGGCTCTTTCTCCCCTCCCTGGAGAGACCTTTTAAATAGATCTGAATTTCCATTTAAATAGAAGCAATCAATAATAAAATACATCAGTAACATTAAAAAGTATTACTATCCAAGAGCAAACCAAGAAATCTTTCACAGCCATGGCAAACTCTGCACTTAAATGTGTACAGGTAACATCTTGCTTGCTATCAAAAAGGTGCAAGGAGCAGTGAGTGGACACCAGTCAATTTCTCTCAAAGTTTATTTAAAAGCCAAGAAATGAGGATTAACCCAATAAATAATTAGAAAGAAAAAAATAATAAGGTAGGACCGATTTTACTCATTGGCACAAGTTTAATTTCAGTTGCTCCCCAGCCTTTTGGCCAAGGCCAARTATGGGATCTGGGCACAGAGTCCATCCTGGCAGGGTTAATCAGGTGACATTGGGTAAGAACTTTCCCAGATGTATTTGTGACAARTCCCCTTCCTGGGCAGCTTCCACAGCAGGGGTGTAACAGGTGGGAACAGAGGATGCATTTTCAGCTCAGGGTTCAGCTCACAGGTACCACACACAGCACTTCCAAGGCTCTGAGATCAGAACCATCCTTCCCTGCCTCCCTCYTCTGTCCATCCTCACCAGCAGCACACACACAGCACATCCCGAGGAAACCCACCCCAATCTGGCCTGCAGYACTTCCACCGGAACCAGTGCTCCCTGCCCAAGGTGTCCCAGGGCAGCACAGCCACTGCCAGCTGTCACTGGGAGCTCAGCRACGAGGCCACCAACAGCGACTGCAAGGACAACGCAAAGCTCACCCAGAACCTTCTTTTTTTAAAAAAAAAATCTTCCCAGAGCGTACAGATCACTGGGAATGACCCAGCACAACCAGCAYAGGGAGCCAGCTCCCTCAAATCCTGCCTGAAAGCAGAAACAGATTGTTCTAGTCCAGGTCTCATCTAGAAACTAGAGCCTGAACAAGTTTAAATTCTATCCACTAGAGGTGGAGACYGTAACAGAGACACGACTGACACAAAATGGTTTTAAATCTCAGCCTCACACCAACCTGACAGCTGAGCCTGCTGGAAGCATCCATCCCACACCAGCGTGCCTCTGGAACGAGTTCACTTTCCTCCTTCAACCTCTTGGGTCAGCACTGTGACACTGCCACACAGCCTGGTGTCCCAGCACAGTGAGGGCTCTGACACCTGTCATTAACACACCTCGGTGTGCCCAGCATCATGAGRGCTCTGTCACCAGCTCCCAAGGGTTGGAGGGATCATCTGGAGCTGTACAAAGCTGGAGACTGAGGTGTGTTAAAATAAAACTCACAACCAGTCACATGCTGATTGCTCAGGCACCCTTTAAAAGAACTTTTCTACCCTCCACCACACAGCAATCACAAATGGCCAAGCCTCCACCTCTTGAAAAAAGCTTGCAAACTACCCCTCTAATTGTGTAAAATGGCATCAGGGCACTCCAACCACCTCACCCRCCGTGCTGAGCACCCCCAGCACCATCATACAAAAGAATGATGCTCGTCTTCACGGTCAGTCCATAAATTTCCTGGAAGGACCAGCTACACCGAGCGCTGCACCAAACGCACTGTTGTCATTTCAGACCATTTCTGCTGAAACGCTGACACTCCTCATCACGCCAGCACAGCTACAAAGGGCTTGTGCAAGCCTCCTTCACGTTAAATAATAACTGGATGTATGCTAATTGCCTTTCCTCCAGTGAACTGTCTGCATTCCCTTCCGATTTCCTGTAGCTACAAATATGATAATCAGGAGAACAAAGACTTTAGCACAGCCACTCGGGCACAGCAAACGCAGTGGAGTGTGTACGCCTGGCTCCAGCAGCAGGAGCAGAAGGGAGACCCGCAGCCTTGCTGCTCTGAGCACCCCGAGCCCACCTTCAGGCGGTGTCAATAAAGAACTCGTGTAAAATCGCACATCGCAGCGAAGTTTCTCTTTGTAACTTCCCGGACAATGCAGCCCCTTAGCAACGCGGTCGCTCTGAAAACAACCAATCCACCTTTAATTCCCACTTCCTCCCTAGCTCTCTGGACAGCAACTTCTGGCACTCCATCAGTCCCCTTTTATCCCAGTTTCTTTTTATAAATCCAAGGTCAGGTTTCCTCTCCCATCTCATGTGATGTGCTGGACTGAAGTTCTGCCAGCGTGGTCGGTCCCCTCGGCTGCCAAACCCCCTACCGCGCTCCCCTCAGCCTGTCCCGCCGCCCACCGGGCATCTCCCCTGCTCCAGCCGAGAGGAATAGCCAAGTGGGAAGCGCCAACTCTCCCAGCGACGCTGAATTTTGTCTATTAAAAACAAAACCCCGCTTGGAGGGAGTCTCCCCTCCCCGGGCGGCTCGGGGGTCCCGGGCCCGGCCTCGCCCCCGGCCCGGCCCTTACCTCCTCCTCGCTCTCGCTGCGGAAGCACAGGCAGGCCGCCCGCTTCTTGTAGCCGTCCCCGTCRTAGGTGCGCGTCTGGTTGGACTTGAGCTTCATCATCCTCCGCTCCGGGGGCGGCGGGACCGGAGGACGCGCGGCCCGGAGGGCGGGGGCGGGCGGGACCCGTCGGACGGCGAAGGACGGGGGGGCGCGGGGGGACCGCTTGCCCGCGACAGTCTCTCTGTGGGTCTCGCTTTGTGGGTCTCGCTACGCGCTGCCGCCCTTCGTCCGCCTCACCCCTGCCCTCGCTCCCAGCCGCGCCGCCGCCGCCGCCCGCGCTCTGGCCACCGCCGACGACGACCGCGCCGCCATCTTGGGGCTCGCTACGCAAACGGCGTAGCGCCGCCGGTCGGGGAGGCGGTGCTGCCCCTGCGGCCTCACGGCGCGCCCGCTACGCAAAGGGCGCAGCGCGGCTTCCAGAATCGCTCCCCCCGCGCAGGCGGCGCCGCCACGCCCCCGCCCCGGCTCGCGCGCTCTGCGCCACYGGCGCAAGCCGCGTTCGGGAATACGGCGGGCAGCGCAGAGCGGCGGCGGCGGGCGGCGGGCATTGCGCAAACGGCGCAGGGGCCGGGCCGGYCGCGYGCACGTGGCTCCGCTGTGACAGCGGCTCCGCGGGGACCGCAACGCCCGCCCTGCACCGCGCGGGGGCGCTGCGGCATCAGCGGCACCGCGGGGTCGGGCCAGCCGCCACCCTCCGGTGACACCGCGGGCCGGTGCCCATCCCCCCACCTCCGGTGACACCGCGGGCTGGTGCCCATCCCCCTCCCCTCTGGTGACACCGCGGGCTGGTGCCCATCCCCCTCCCCTCCGGTGACACCGCGGGCTGGTGCCCATCCCCCTCCCCTCTGGTGACACCGCGGGCTGGTGCCCATACCCCCCTCCAGTGACACCGCGGGCGGGTGCCCATCCCCCACCCCCCCGGTGACACCGGAGGCTGGTGCCCGTCCCCGCGGCAATATTCCGTGTGTGTGTCCATCCCCCCTCCCTGACGGGGCGGGTCGGTGTCCGTTCCCCCCGCGGTGACAGTCCGGGTGTGCCTCCATCCCCGTCAGTGACACCGCGGGTCGCTGTCCGTGTGTCCGCTCCCCCCGCTGGTGACACAGCGGCCACCCCGGCTCCGTTACCGATCAGTGTCACCGGCTGCCGAGCGACACCTGGCGGCAGGCGGCGGCCACTGCTCACTCGGCCCCCCCAAGGTGCTGCCACCAACTCCACCCTCAGTCCCCCACAAGTGACAGCCCAGGTGACACCGCAGCGGCGCAAGAGCCGTGGACCCGCCCACATGGGCTRTGTTTTGCCCAGAGGGACACGGGCTAGTACAGCTGAATTTTTCATCTGCAGAACAGCTCTGTCCCAGCCCAGCCCCACTTCCCATTGCTGGGAACSAGCATCGCCTTGGGCAGACAGGAAACGGCTCCTCATTCCTCCAGGACTCACCTGCACACCCTCCTAAACCTGGAGATTTCCTTCACTAGAACCCGTTTTTAGTCACTCCCAAAATGCTGCTCCAGATGCCAAAGATGTGAGTCACCCCTGTGCTTCATGAGCTCTGTTTGTGCACTTCAGTGAGACACAGGAATGAACCCAGTGGCATTTTCACCTCTTTTATTATACACAAAACATGAGCACGAAGTTYTACTGCGGGGGCTGACCACGTCCACGACCAAATCCACCTCTCTGTAACAGCAAAGGGAGAGAGTTAGAAATCAGGAAGAAAAAAAACACCATCAAAGCTCGTTCCTCAGCTTGGTGTTTCTTTGGTAACAGTCTAACATTGGCACAGGTCAGCCAGGAGAGAGTCACCAACATCAACCCACTCTCAGCCAGCTCTGTGGRTCACCCATAAAACTCTTTTATGTATTAAGTATAAAATCATGGCTCTCCAGAGTGCTCAGCTTGCTCTCAAAGCTGTCACTGGTCTCTGTCCCACCACATCCTTTCCCCAGGGGTGACAGTTTCCAACCTCTCTGACACCCTCAGAGTCCCACAGGTAGGACCTTCTAGCTTCTCCCATTAAAGCCTCAACAAAAGAAGCAAAGCTCAAATGAAAATACTCACGAACTGGAATTCAGTGGCTGCTCCAGCACCAGCCTCAGCCTTCTTGTCAGCACCAGCTGCAGAGAGAGGAGCAGTCAATGCCCACAGAACCCTCTGCCCAGCACAACACTCCTGCYTGGGAGCAAAGCTTTAACCATCACACAGAACTAAAACTGGGGCTGAACACAGCCAAGTCAAACAGCTGTAACTGAGCACGTTTGAGAGTCATGACCCAACCCCAGAGAAAATCCCACACTCCGGCTGGACAAAATTCCACCAAACCTCCCATCCACCTACACAGACTCAATGCTGAGTCTCATCTTCCCATTTTTTCTTTTAGAGGATCCCCAGAGCTGGGACAATTGTCCCCAAGAGGGCAGGGGGTGCAGGAGGGACACTCACGTGGCACGGCACTGCGGCGGTACGTGTCCCGGTCAGCCTCGCCTCGCGTGAGCCGTGCCGGGCGCTCGCCCTCCAGACCTGSAACACAGAGCACAGCCTCAAACACTGCTCAGCCAGGGCACAAACAGCTCCTTCCTGCAGCCCAAGGTGGAGAACAGCAGCAGGTCTGCCAGCAGTGCCACACCTGGGTAGCTCAAGGAGAATAAACCTAAGCGAAAGAGTGATTTAATAAGAGAAACTTCACTTGAAGGGTGAAATCTGCTCAAGTGCCCCAAGTTGGGACTGGGTGGAAGTTAAATAACGTGAGAAAYGGATTTACAGCATCATCTCAACAGYCTTCTTGGCCATCAAACTAGTGCTGAACAATATTGTTGGTAAAAACCCCAGAAATACTGAGAATCTACCACATCCAACAAGCCTGGCCACAGCCAAGTCACAAATTGCACGACAGAATTCTGACCCCAAGCTGCAACAGCTACACTGTCAGTACCCCAAATCCCCCCATGGAACAGCTCATGACATTAAGAGCAGAGTACCTGTGGAACTTCAGGTTAATACCAGACAGAACACACCAGTTCTCAGGGATTGGGACATGCCCCTGGAGCCCAGGACCCACTGAGGGGCAGCTGAGCCTGGCACACCCCAGTGCCCTGCATGTCCACAGGCCTGACACCACAGGCACTCGTTTGGTCACACAAAACCCAGTTCTCATAATAATTTATTTCCCCTCCCTCCCAGCAGGGATACAGCTCCTTTAGCTCATCGGATAAACGCAGCATCTGAAGAACAAATCCTGGAACAACCAGAGCAACTCAGAGATCAAAGAAAGCATCGTATTCCCAGCTTCTCTGCAAATTYCTTCCTTTGAAGCAAGTGATGCTCCCATTTTGTTTGGCTCAGACACAAATTACAGGAGCTGGGGTTGAACTCCCAGCACCCCCTGGCCCCAGATGAGGCTCAGAAGCAAAAAGCACAACCCATGCAAGCCCCCAGAGCCAGAGCACATCTGGCTGTACCACCAGCACCTCCAGCATGAAAAGCCACCAAAGGAAAATCAGAGCTGCAAATCCAASAGAATCACAGATCAGCTGGAATTGGAAGGGGCTGGAAATCACCCAGTGCACCCTCACTCCCAAGGCAGGGTCACCTGGAGCAGGTGACACAGGAATGTAGCCAGAGAGGGAGACTCCACACCCTCCCTGCACAGCTGTCCCAGCTCTGCCACCATCATGAAAAGTTCTTCCTCATGTTGAGGTGGAACTTGCTGGTTTTTAGTTTCTGGCCACTGTTCCTTGTCCTGTCATTGAGCAGCAGTGAACAGAGTGTGACACCCCCTGGAGATACCTGCATGTCTGTTCCAGACTAACCAGGCCCAGCTCCCTCAGTYTCTCCCCATCACAGAGATGCTCCAGACCCCTCAGCATTTTTGTGGCCTCTACTCCCCCACCACCACGAGTTTGCTGCAACTTTTAACAACGAGCTCTATCCAGCAGCACGCTCAGGGTCTGTGGTGAAGGCAGAGTGGGGACACCCAACCTGGCCATGGGTGAGCCCCAGCTGGGGCACACTGAGCCCTGGATGGTGCCTTCACCACATCCTGCTCCCAGCAATCCCAGTCCCCACTCACAGCATCTCCTCTTCATCCCAGTTCCCCCCACCCCTCCCACGGGACACCAGTCCAGTGCCAGGCACAAAAGCAACAAACCCCAACCACACCTCCTTGTTCCACTCACAATTACACACCMAACCCCACAGCCACACACAGCTGGCACTGTCCTGACCCAGCACCCCCATGCCCACCCTGTGCCCATCCCTGTCTCACCTTTGGGCCGGGGTCTGCCGGTCTCCGGGCGGCTCCGGCGCAGCGTGGCCGGGACGATCTCGGGGGGCAGGTGGAGATAATCCCGCAGGTACTGGATGCCCTCGTTGGTCAGGTACCAGTAGAAGTGTCTCCAGGCAAACTGCTCCTTCACATACCCCCGGGACTTGAGCGACTGCGGGGAGAGCACCCAGTTACTCATGAGCCTTTTCCAGTTGCTCCACCAGTGCCCTCAGCCGGGCAGTGAGGAATGAGGATGTAGGAACAAGGAACAATTCACATGCAGTGTGCCCCCTGCCCCACACCTGTGCCCCCCGACCCCCCAAACCTGCATGGCTTTCATGACGTGGAGGTTGGGCACGTTCTTGTCCACGAGCTCAGGGTGTTTGGGCATGTGCACGTCCTTTTTGGCCACCATCACCCCCTCTTTGAACAGCAGCTCATAGATAGCGATTCGGTTCTTCTTGGGCATCAACATCTGTAGAGAACACAGGAAAAAGGGCTCGGTGACATTTGGGCACAGACATCCGCACCGGGGACAGCGAACCCTGCTGGGTGACCCCGGTACCCCCCGAGTTACCCCGGGACGCCCCTTTCCACCGCTTCCCGGGAGGGAACACCGAACAGTCCCAGCTTTTGCTCCTTAAATCGTCCCCCACATAACGGACGGCACCGCTTGGTGTCGGTCACAGCGAGACACGGGGCACARGTGGGGCAGGGCCGCGGCTCGTGGGGGGATCCTGTTCCGGTCCCRCCGCGGATAGGGCTGTTGCTGCCGTTAACTCCACTGAACTCGGGAACCGGGAGCCTCTCGTCCCTCCGAGAGCCGGGGCCGACCCCGGCAGCGCACCCAGCATGGGAACTCAGCTACGGGCGGCGCTCCCGGAGACGCTGGGCCCGGGTCGCGCGAGGGTCTCGGTGCTCGGGCACGACTGAACCCCCGCCGGTCACGGGCCACCCCTGCAGCAGCGCCTGGGGCGGGAGGCCCCGGTGCCAGCGCTGGGCCTCCGGTACCACCCCACGGCCTCGCTCCCCCAATCCCACCCTTC